GGCCCGAGCCCCGCCCCCCTCCGAGCCCCGCCCCGGACCTCTGCCGTGCCGGCCCGGCCCCCCCGTACCCGGGCCCCGACCTCCGGGGCGCTGGGCGCCCTGGCCTGGCTCCCAGGGCTACGTGCCCCGCCTCAGTCACTGTCATCGCTGTCGCTCCCCGTTGCCGCTTCCTCCACCGCCTCCGGCTCCTCGCGCAGATCCGCAAAGAAGTCCTCGCCGCCGCCCGCAGCCTTGCTGCTCAGGGCCTTCAGCGGCCCTCCCTTCTTCTTCTTCTTCCGGTAGTCGTCCACCACGACGGAGGCCAGCGAGGAGATGTCCCAGAACTTCACCTTCTGGTCGTGGGCGCAGCTGGCCAGGAGCTGCCCCCCAGGGGCCACGGCCAGCTGCTCGATGGGCTCCCCCGCGTGCTGCCCGACGCAGCCCAGCACCCGGTTCGGCAAGACGTTCACTGCCCTGGAGACAAGGTGAACGACACCTGAGCGAGGACTGTCCTGGGCCAACTGCGACCTCATCCAAGCCATAAGCCCATCCCTGTAGCAGCAGGTCAGACGCACGCCTCCCGTGTGCCAGTGCAACCTTTGCTCGCCTTCCTCCTTTTCCCTCCTCCTCACTCCCACCCAAGGGTAATCTTGTCCTGTGAGTTCCCTAAAGCCTCCTCCCGTCCCAGCCCAGGCCCAGGGCACTCTGACCTGATGACTCCATCAAGGGACCCTGTGCACACGATGTTCTCTGTGATGGGGACCATGCAGTCGATGGACTCGGCCCTCAGAGCGAAGCGGTCACTGGTGGCCCCAAAGCCATCCCAGTTGAAGAGGTAGATTGTCCCCTCGCTGGAGCCACAAGCCACTTTCTTCCCCCTCTGAGCAAGGTGGGGGAACATAAGATGGAGGCAAGGAAACGAGCCTGGGGACTCGGAGAGCGAGCCGTGGGGCTGAGGCCCTTGCTCCGCAGCAGGGCCTAGCACCTACCTTCAGGAGCACAACGGATGTCAGGTCCCCGTTCTGCGGCTCTGAGAGCAGCTCAAAGCGCCGTCTCTTGATGTTGAAGACGCCCAAGGTGCCATCACCGCTGCAGGAAACAGAATGAGCCTGTCATGGGGGCAGGATCCTGAGGCAGGGTGCAGACAGCAGGAGCCCTGGTCACAGGGGAGTGCCCCGCACGAGCACAGGTTGCTGATCCAGGCACCAAGGAGCCTTGCGGTACCTGGCAGTCAGCAGGAGCTTCCCATTACCATCCACAGCCATAGCGCTGATGTATTCCTCGTGCTGCCGGGCCTCCAGGACCGTGGCCCCTTTACGCAAGTCCCACACCTTCAGCGCGCCACCGTCATCCCCCGTAGCAAAGACGTGGTCATTGATAGGCAGCACACAGTTGAGGGCTGAGCTGCGAAGACCCCAGCCCCGCGCCGGCAAAGTCACGGTACACGCTCTTGCCCTGGCCACTAGCAAACGGAGCCCAGAGCATTGGGGCTGACTCTTCAGCCTCCAACTGCCTGGCCCCGGGCTCCACGGAAGGGGAGGGAACGGGGTGTCAGGGTAGCTGGGATGAGCCATCCCCTCTGCAGGGGGTTGCCTAGCCTGCAATGGCCTACGCACAGGTACCTGTGAGCCTTGGAGAAGCGCGTCTCCAGCCGGCCCTCCTCCACTGTCAGGACGTGGATAGACTTATCCTTGGACACCGTGAAGAGCTCTGGAGAGCCGTGTCAGCACCAAGGGCACTGGCATCACCCGGGGCAGGTGCAT